AAACAATAAACAAAGTAATATAAAAATATCAATTTTTTACCCACAATACATCAATGAAGATAATAAATTTATTATTTATAAGTATAAGTATTGTTTTGAGTTAATAGACATATAAAGATATTTTTTAGGTACGAAATGATAAATATCAAAGTCTGAATTCTTAATTATTATACTTTAACATTTTAGACATTTATATAGCGAATATTACTGTTTGAAATGATAATTTTTAACAGTTGATCATTACTTACTATAAATCGACTGTGATTTAATACAGTTTACTTTTTAAAAAAAATAAACTCTAGTCTAGCCTAGTACAGACAAGTTGGACAGGAAGAAGAATCTCTGTCACGTTTGCTCGCGTGTCGAGAGCATGATTGTCGTGTAATTGTCTAGGACTTGGTGGTATAAAACGCAGCGGGATCTAAAAAGTCAGTTTTAGATTATATATTTCTTCTCTTTGGTTTATTAGTTTTTTTTTTTTTTTTCCCCATCGAATCGAGCTGGCTGATAGATGTATACCTATAATATAATACTGTCAGCTATCGAGTGTCCGTCAGAGTTTTAAAATTGGCTAATTGATTTATCGATAAAACCTTAACTCATTGAATTACTTATCGGTGGTACAGTACTATTTTTCGCTGGAACCATCGTTATTAATCGGATAAGCGAGAACTTGAATTACTATCGGTATACCGACTGACTGACTGGCTAACTGACTTTTACTTTTAAATTATCCACCGGTTCAGTTAATCTGGGTTTTAATTATTCACCAGGATAACCATCAGTGATATTGATATTGAGATTGATAGTGATAGTGGTGAATGGTGAAGGACACTTACTCAACAGTGAAATGATCCTTCCAGTGGACATTGTAAACCCCAACATCGATGTTGAAGTATATGAGCGACTGGTGCTCTTGTTGCTTCTGCTTCTGCTGATGTCCTTGCTGGCGCTCGAGCTGATGACAATGATGATGATGATGATGATGATGATGATGAGGAAGATACTGCACGGTGATACATGTTGCGTTGACGCGACAACGCGTCTGGACCTCCGTTAACCGCGCATCGCATACTGCCCTCCTGTGATAACAAAAATATTATTATTTTTATAACTTAATTAACTTTTAATTATTGATTATTTTATATCAGGTCACCTCACAATTTTATCATTATAATTATTATTTATTAATATTCGTTTAATTCAATTTATCTGTCAAAATTTTGCTCGTTTTTTTACATCAGAAATTTCTGAGAAAAATCGTTTAATTTACTTCTAGGAAATTAATTATACTTATTGGGATGATTGAATGTATCTAGTTGAATTAATTTTGGCTAGTTTAGCAGATTTGGTGAGATAAAATTAATACGCAAGACAAATTAGGGAGAGACTAAGCTCGTGTAACGGAATTTTCCTAAAATTTTCTTACAGATTATTCTATTTATTTATCTTTTGCTAAATTTTAAATAATTTATACACGTATTAGAATAAATAGGGCATTGAACGCCTCAGACAATTTAATAAATTAAATTTTAGGGTCTCTTGATTTATTAAATTTTAAGTAATTATTAAAAAGAAAGACTAGGTAAATTAAGAAATTTTTTATGAATAAAATATAAAATTTTGTTTTCAAACCTAACTTTGTTTTTTTAAATCTTTTGTAATATATTGGATAGAAAAACATTTCTTTTTAATTAATGTTAATTTAATTCATAATTTTTTCATTGTTATGATTGTCAGAATAATTTTTTTGATTAAATTATTTCTTCTTATATAATAATTTCAAATATAATTATTTACTATCAAAAAATATTTATTAAAATTGAAAAATAATTTAATTCTTAATTTTTATTATTTCTTCACATAGAATTTAATAAATTAGTAAAAAAAAAAAATAAAGAAAAAATTAAATATTAATATTATTTAAACTTAGAAATTTTTCATTTTAAAAATTATTAGACCAATTTTTTTAAGTCAATTATTATTTCTTCAGATATTAATTTTAATTATAATGAATAATAAAATTTTTAAATGTTTTCAATGTTAATTTTGTCAATATCTTCATTAAAAATTGTTAAAAAAAAAACTTAAAATAAAATAATATAAAAACGAGCATAATTTAAAGTCAGATAATTTCCAATAATAAAAAAGTAATGAAATTAATACCAGGTCAACTAACAATTTAATAATAATTATAATTGTAATATTAATATGTATATATATAAATCTTTATAATATATTATTAATTATTAATTTATTAATAAATTAGTTTGTAGTAGTGGGTAGACGAAGAAGAGGAAAAATAGCTCGATGCTTAATACAGAGGAAAAATGATTTCGTGCATGAGTTGATTAATAATGAAAGCGGAAAAATAACAAGAGTGACCGAGTAGGTGAATAAAACAAAGAGGGAAGATACTGACGTTATACATCCTATATATTATGTTGATGTTGATATATGTTTATATTTAGTTTCTGTCGGACAACAGGCTACTGGGATAATCATCGCGCCTCATGCAACATGCCTGCCATTTTGATATATCTATAACTACATCAATGTACCTCATCGCTTACTTCTCAGCGATATTTACACCTGTGTACAAACAATAGGTGTAAATACATAAACACATAGACATAGATATATTTGTGTGCGTGCGTATCGTGATCATGTAAGCACCAGCTTGTACCATCACAGATCGCAGCATCCTGGGCAGTGCAAAAATAAATTTTCCAATAGCTCCTGCTAAAGAATTACCGCTCTGAGGATTAAAGTGAGCGGCATAACGCCAAGCGATAATTACCAGTACTTTTTTATACTAGCTTCATTTTTTTAAATTATTTTTTTTACCGGGTCTCTTTAGCAGTCTTTTGTATCGTTACTCTGTCCCCCAGGGACTTTCTCCCTTAGTAAATGCCCGAGTCACTCCCAGAGCTGCAATACACTCTCTTTTATCATTAATTTCATGAGCCACTCTCGCTTCAAAGGATTCAAATTATATTATGATATATTATATTATAATTTATAATATATAAGTCACATTTTATATTTTATAGATTTAAATTAAAATGCAAGTACAAATGGAGATCCTATAAAATGACATTCTGAAAGTGAAAATATTAATAAATGGAACAAACAACAGTGGACACGCATGCGAGATAAAATTGGAGCAAGCTGACAATGCTATTTATTTTTTTTAGCACCAATAATAATAATAATAATAATTTTTTAAAAGAATACATAAAAGAAAAATACTGATCAGTGAAAAGTAGAAAAAAAAACTGACCAATTATTCATAAGTAATTTTAATTGTAAAAGATGTATTAATATTGATTCAATGTATAAAAAAATAGCTTAATTCTAATCAATAAATATTATTATTATTATTATTTAGCTTCTAAATTTTTTAAAATTAATAATTTACAAATAATAAACAACGCATACATCAATAATTAATATTTAACAATTTACAAAATAAAAAAAAAATAATAATAATACAACTTGTTATTGCTGTAAAAAAAAAAAAAACTAATAAATAAAAGCGTAGAGGTTGAATAAAAAATAATTAAATTAAAAGTTATAAAACTACTTACTGTTATTCCGAACTAAAAGGTACAGGTAAGGCGAGTTTGATTCTTGAAAATTAGTCGTCTGATAAATGTGTCCTCTACGATGTCTAGATCTTCGTCGATACCGTCTCCGGCACAACCCCATCGCACTTACAATAACAATTCCCAACTATTTTTTTACAGTTAATCCTAATATTAAAATACGAAGATATAAAAATTGTATACATCGGACGCGCAGGACAATTGTCGAGTCCGCACAGATAAATACCGATTAACTGGTGGCTCGTTACATAATAACAAAAATACTCTGAAGATTACTCTGTCAGAATATAATCCCCAATAAATATAAATACAATCTTGACATGGAGATGATATCTCCCTAGCTTTAATCTGGAGTGTTGACTGAGTGATTGACCCGGTGAACAATAAGTCTCCGTAGAGACATAGTGCTGAGGAAGACAGTGATGAATTATTAGCCTGGTGTCGAAGCAGAGTGTCCCATTACTCCAATCCACCGGATTGTAATGTTGTGAGACGTTAACTGGCGCCTTACGGTGACTCCCACTGACCAACTGTACTTACGTACAACTAGCTTAACTGTCCGTGAAGCTGCTCACGAGGGTGCGGTTTTCTCCTGGATGCTCTCACAGGGTTCACCTCTTACTCCCTACGACGCTGCTGCCACTACGGGGTCGTGCTGAGACTCTACTCTATTCTCTATTCTCTATTCTCTAGCTCTCCTCTATATATCTGTGTGTACGGTGGGGTCGTCACGAGGTCGCGGCTGACCGTTCCGCGATCCGATGCTGGATGCTCGATGTTGGATCCTGGGTTAATCTCTTTCGACTCAGGGTTGGCTCCTCATCCAACTATTGGCTGGCTACGCACCACCACTAGGGCACATACTACAACAACCACCAACTTGCTACGGTACCAATGTTATTTACCACCACCAGCATATAAGCACCAATAATTTACTTCGTGCTGTATGTAGTACACTCGCGATTTATTACATCACAAAATAAAACTTTATTACAGAAATTTTATTTCTGTAATTTAATTTTTTTAATTATTTTTCTTATTAAATAATTATTTATTTAAAATTATTGAAGATGATGTTGGATTAATGACAATTGTTTAACAAATTGCAAGAGCTCCAATGACTAGTTACGTGACGGAGCGGTGAATGGATCGCGCGATTAGCAGGATCTTACTGGCACACATTGGCTGTCATCCAGAAAGCTACCCCTTTCGCGCAGTTGTCTCAACTGATGATTCGGGGTACATACCCCGAATGTTGTGGATGTGGAGGACCGCGATGGACTAGGGCGTGGGCAATCTGAGCGAACCGCGCGAGCAGACTACATTGATTTTGATTTTCGCAGGCGCGCGCACTTGCCGAGCCTTTCTATCCATTCCTTCATATCATCTCTTCTATATAATACTACTATACTCAACTTTACTCCCACAACTACTACACCGTCCCCATCCTTTCTTGGATATTTTGCATCCCCCGCTGCTGGTCCCTCTTAATACGGGGAACATCCGCGCGGATAATAGCCGCTGATGGACGAGCAAACGCACCGACAGAAGAAACACCGACGCAGCCCGTATTATATCCTTCTGTGGATATCAAGAGTATTTAGAAGCTGTTATACGTGTCTTCTCTTGCTGGTTCTCGTACGTACTACAATAGTAGTCGTCCACGTACTACGCACTACGCACTACGCCCCGCTCTGCCCATTCATGCCAGATAGTCGCAAGACTCTAAAGATAGTAAGATATTTTGTGAATTTTATTATAAATTAATTATGAAAAATTTCCAATTGTAATTTTATTTTATTTTATGACATTAATTAGCCGACATTTGAAAATTTTTATAATTTATTTTATTGAAAAATAATTTTTAAAAAATTAAAACAAAAATTTTCACATGTAGAAAATTTTAAAAATTATCCGTGGAATTTTTTGAATAATTCGAAAGAATTCAAATAATTCGATTCGAATTTTGAATCGAATATTAATATTCGATTCGAAACGAATAATTCGTAAGTTCGAATTATTCGCACACCCCTAGAGTTTATATCTTTAAAAATGACAATAGTTGAGAAAATACAGTGCAATTTAACATAATTAAGAAATGAGCTTGTATCTTGTCAAATATTGACATTTTTAAAGATATAAGCTCATCCCGACATTACACCCATTGAGACCTTTCATTTGAGTACCAACATCAATTTTTCATATATTTTTATATATTACATATATGTATATATGAAAAATATATCAAAAATGCATGTGGGTACTCAAATGAAAGCTCTTGATGAGTGCAACATCGGGGTGAGCTTATATCTTTAAAAACGTCAATATTTAAGAAAGTACAGTGCAATTTAACAAAAATCATAATTTAATAAAGTAAAATTTTATTTACTGATAATAAAAATTTGACTTACTTCCGTCACCTTCAATTTTAAAATTCTTAAACAACTCTTTGATTTTTTCCTGTGACCAAGCACAGGCATTTTTCTCAGTCCAGTGCCAGTTATTGACATTTGTAGCATCAGGTCTCTCTTCTACAATCCACCTTGGATCTCCTTCACCCCACTTGGCCATTTTTTATGATAGAAAAAGTAAAAGTCTGCTTTAATTTCTAAACTTCGTACCCTGAAATAAAAAATTAATTTATTGTAATTTAATTAAATTAAATGAAGGCGTGTCTGAGTTATTAATTCATAAAAAATCATGACTATAAAAAAAAATACACACTTGAATAAATTAAATATTCTTACTGTGACACAACTCGAATGACACAACTGAATCCGTTTATCCAAAATTCAACTAATCAGTTTGGCTAAAAATAAAAAAATGTAACACCAACTCAGCTGTTTTTACTCAATCACAAATAACAATTACTGACAGTTCGTCGAGCTGATAATAATGAAAAGTTGCTAAAAATTAACAAGTATGTACAAATGATTACACGAGGAATTAAAATATGATTTATGCGATCGCAACAGTAACAGTTCTAGTTCTTGTGAATGTGAATAGTGTCTATGCTTTCGCTGGATGAGGTTAGAGAGACACGCTTTTGTATTTTCTGGAAAGTTCAAGAACTTTATCGGAAGTTGTAACACGCGTTGGAGAAATCCACACCGTTTTTATCGACGCGCTTGTGGTGAACACTAAACTCGCGACATCTTTGAAAAAAAGCGGGAATTATTTAAATTAATCCACTCTTCAGCGACCTGGGTCGATAATAATAATAATAATAATAATTATTATTATTAGCAAAATTTTATGTATATATTTATAAATTAACATTTTAATTCATAACTTGAACGACAAGCTCCAAGCTTCGGTTCAAGACTTGAGTTTATTTGAAGAGTACTCAACTCAAGTAAAATCTGGACGATTTAAGTGGTCACCAGTACACAAATTGTCCAAGTTCTAGCGTGTGAGAATGCCAGCAGATGAATTCTAAATAAAAATATTATAAACTAGATCATTATTAGTAAATCATAAAAAATTATTAAAAACTAAATAAAATTTCTATAAACAAAAAGTAAACTTGAAAATATTTTTTACTTGCAAAATATTTATCTTTAATTTAAGAAATATACAGATCAATGTTCAGTTCAAATACATTTGCATGATAAATTTGCTTATCCCAAGCGGTTGTAATTAATAACGCCTGTATAAATAGCAGCTTTAAGCATTTCGCCTTTTGTCCGCCCGAGTACATTATCTCCGTTCCTTGGTAATTAAACTCGCCGTTCTCGCTCAGCAACTTTTCAAAATAGCTTAAAGGAGTGATACTCCCATCCAACGTGTCGTTCTTGCCGTTATACGGGGTTGCATTTTGAATCACCTGGCTTATCGCCGCGTACTTTTCAGCTATCATTTCTTGTTTCAGAGCAGTTAGCATACCTATATCGATCCGGTCTGAATTTATTACAATATCGGGGATTATCCCCGACTCTGTAAATGGTAAATCTACAGCTGGGACAATTTTAAAATATCCTTTTATACCACATCTGAACTTGGATTCATAAACGGAGCCGTGTGCAAGTCCACGTTGATACGAAGCCAGGGTTTATAATCATCAAATTTTGCTGACCAACGACAGTGTCCAAGTATACCGCAACAACAGCATTGGTTCCCATGGCAAAATCATCAAGCTTCATGTTGTCATATTCCACAGTCCTAACTAGCGGTGTCTGTGGATTTTGAAATCTATTTAACTCGTACGCTGACTGCAAGTTGTGAAAATGCGTGCACGTCTCCATGCTTTGCTTAATTATCATCAGACACCGCAGTTGATCATAATATCCATACAAAGGATCTCTCCATGAAGTAAAACTTGGCCATGGGATGAGTTGAGCTGTACTACTCATAAATGATATGTCGCTCATTTCTTCATGAGTATAATAATCTTGATTACTCCGGGATCTTATTTTGATGTAGGCTTGTTCAAAAGTGCCTATCAGCTCTCTTTTTTCCACCTTAAGATTGTTTAGTGGTCTCATCATCCTATCGGGTCTTGTAAAAATAAACAATCCGGGGTACTGAACGGCAGGGTCCATGTTTTTCTTGATTTTAACAATCTCAGTGGTCAGTGCGGAATTATTTCTGAGATCTTCATCTCTCTCAATGCATCTGTTATTCCATTAATGTCATCGTCGTAAATAATTCCCAGTATTTTGCCGCCAAGGAGAACATCGTAATAATTTTTCCATACGGTGACATTCTTGAGCTCCACCTAACGGCTCGTGGGGGTAATCTGCGCGTACTCGGCCCCATTGTAAACGCGCCGTTTTTTAGAGACTTAGACTTGTGTCTCAATTTTTAAGCCCTGGGAATCCCTCACTTCGCACATATGTATCGAAAATATCTATTCTAATTGATAAATTTATAAGAAAAAATGTAAATTTTCACGTAATTTATTTTTAATTTATTTGGCTCTGTACATTTTGCTACAAATTTATAATTAATACAGTAACATAGATTATTAAAAGCAGATAAAACTGCATCCAAGTATGTAGTTTACACATAAGTTTTTGTTTTATTAATTAGTTTTTTAAAAAGTTTACTTATTAATCTTAGCCACGTTCTCATGCATAGAAAATCGTAAAAATTACCAGAAATCGCATCAGATCATGTTACTTTATTTTATTAATAATTAAAAAAAAAAAAATTTTCTTTCAAATAAAATATTAAATACAAGACAAAAATTAGTTCCTACAGAACAAATACTGTCGTGATTGGCGATTCAATAATAATTAATATCCTTAAAATTGATCTAGTTATTCTACATTTATTTATTTATATATTTATATTTTTTTTATATTGTGTACCATAAATTTATATTTTCATATTTAAACATATTACAGAGAAGCTTTATCCACTAATTGTTCACAAATACATAGAACAATTTTTCTTTTTTTTTTAATGGACAGGCTCAAAAGTAATTCAATGTACATGTACACTTGTCGTTGCAGATGAACATTTAATTAAAACTAAATATAATTTTAATTATTTAACTTATAGTAATAGTAATAATCAATAATATTTTGGAAATCCAAAATTACTTACAAACATTTTTGTTACGTCACTTACAAATGGAGTATTTTGGTTTTATTTTTTTTTTTATTAATTAATTACAACTAAATTTTTTATTAGTCTTTTCTCACCTCAAGTTATTAACTTGGAGGAAGACTCGACATTATATTGCGCATCATCTTCACAATTATTTATTTATATTAATAAGTAATCAATAACTAGCTTTTGATGATGATTCATTTAAGCAAATTTAATTAACATATCCTACATGTATTACTTATATTTAAAAAAAAAATTTATATTTCATTTATTCAATAATAATTAACCGCTTGATTTGCATTATAGAATTATTTAAATCTATCTCATGCAAATATAATTACTAATTATAATTATAATGATCAGAATATTAATAATAAAATTGAAAATAATAATAAAAAAAATAATAATAATAATAATAATAATATATGCAATGTACTTATAGTACTGCGGAATGTACAAGAGAAAATTAAATGTCCACTTAATTCCGTAGTTACGTAATAGCGATTACAATATGTACTACAAAAAAGTACCCATTGATAATAATGATAATAATAGTAATAATAAAATAATTTAAAAGCTCTGATAAATTACATGAGTGTAATGTAATATCATATCAAACTTAAGGAATATCATTAAAATTTCCGAGGGTTTTAATTTGTTTGATACAAAGTTAATTTATACCTATATGGATCAACATAGACAAAATGTATTATTATTAAAAAGACTGGTTCACTCTAGGAGGCAGATGCAGTTGGCGGAAATGATACGGGTCACGCGATACTTGAGTCTTGTTCACCCCATCCGTCGCTCTCGCACTCACTTTCTGATGCAGATTCGCTGTCGCTGAATTCAACGGCAACTCGTCGAGCTAATATTGACGCGACGTCGTTCAAAGCGTTTACACGCTCCACTTCTTTCTGCTCAATTTTTTCTACCTTACGTAACTTAATTCCTGTAATAATAAAAAATACATTATATTTTAAAAAAATGAAATAAAAAAAAAAACATTTCATTAGCTTATTGATAATATCTATAGATTTTTATCTTTTAATAACACAGTAGTCACGAAACTAATGAAATACAATTAATTAAAAGCTTTTACTAAATAATAATTTATCTTTTCCTAATTCTATTAATAATGACTTTTGTTAAATTACACTGTACTTTCTTAACTAATGACATTTTTAAAGATATAAGCTCATTCTGATGTTACACTCATCAAGAGCTTTCAT